CAATAATAATAATAATAATGAAAAAAAAAATTGTCCTGGGTATGACTTTAAACTGCATCCGGTTGTGGAGTCTCAACGTGGGAGAATGAGGTTACCCTTTGTCACAACTACCTCCAGGTCACCCTTGAGCAAGGTGTAGTACCTGTTAGCTCTCCCCGATACCTTGAAGTATCGGATTGGCGTCCGATGGGGGGCAAGTCTGTCTCATGGGTAGGAGGAACTCTTTAGCCTTGAACGGCAACCCCATAGAGATGGTGTCTCGATAAAAATACCGCTCTGGATCTGGAGGAGCAAACTCTCGATAACTGCGACATTACTGCCAACGGACGGATGGACGTGCTCTGATGTCCAGAAAAATTTGCCCTAACTATGGGTTAAATAGTAAATATCTTACCATAATGAATAAGGCAATAGGAAAGTCATACCGCATCGCTCGTCGCGCCGGTCAACAAGGAGCGCGTCCCTCAGTGATCGCCGAACAAGCTGAGGCCGACAAATCGGCTATTGAGTCGGCAAACCTTAACAGCCAAGCTTCAGATAGCAACCAGACCGAGGTCCAATCTCAAGTTGACCTAACTAAAGCAGCACCGACACTGCAGGCACAGTCCACCAACGCAAACATAACCAACAGAAAAACAAGAAACCATTGGACAAAGGATCAATACAAGGATGTGATGTGGTCATATTATTTTGCCAAAGAGAACAACACTGATGGCGGGGTAGTAAATGGTAGATACATGATCTGGCGAGGCAAGGATCCAAACATCTTTCCAGCCACCAACTCAAATACTCTTGCTAATACCAGGAGGTGGATTATTAAGAACAAGAAGCTTACCGACACTGAACTTGTGCAGATAGTGGTAGGTGTCTGAAAGCAAAATAATGCATCGCAACCAACACTTATTCCCACTGAACAACATAAAGACCTACAACCGCCAAAGCCCGAGACTAAACAAACACCGCTGCATACGCATACCCATGAAGGTGAATCAGTAGTGGATATGGAAGATCAAATCTCTACTAAGCTGCTTGAAACTGATAACCATCTAAACTTATCAGAAATCAATGAATTAACCATTACAAAAATAATCTATAGGTTCCTATAGGAATTTATAGAGACCTATAGAGCTTCTATAGGTGCTCTATAGGTTTTAACAACCTATACACCTATAGGCTTATAGACCTCTAGGTTCTCTATAGG